CCGCGCGAAGCCCGCGGAGTTACTCGCCGCCATCTTGGCGTCCTCCCGAACCCGGCGGGCGCCGTGACGTCACCGGCCCCGCCCCCGAGCCGCGTGCCGCTCGCGCCCCGCCACGCGCCCCAGGCCCCGCCCCCTGCCCGAAGCTCGGCCTTCTTGCCTCCTTCCCTGCGTTGGGGAGACTCCGCCCCGTGCCCCGCCCCACGCAGAGGCCCCGCCTCCTGCTCGGAGCCCCGCCTTCTTCTTAGCCGCTAGATGGTGGAGTCTCTGCTTAAACCCCGCCCACGTCACAAGCCCCACTCTTATTCGGAGCCCCGCCTTCCCTTCAATCACTCAGATGTGGGAGTCTCTGCTCAAGCCTTGTCTTTGCCGCAAGCTCCACCTCTTACTCGAAGCCCCGCCTTCCTCTTAATCACTCAGTGGGGAAAATATCAGCTCAAGCCCCACCCACGAGGCAAGCCCCGCCCCTTACTTGAAGCCCCGCCTTTGCTTTAGCCCCTCAGATGTGGAGGTCGCTGCTCAAGCCCCGCCCACACCACAAGCTCCATCCCTTTACTTGGAGCTCCACTTTACTCAGAGGTAGGGGTTTCTGCTTAAGCCTTGTCCATGCCACAAGCTCCGCCTCCTACTTGAAGCCCCGCCTTCCTCTTAACCATTCAGATGTGAGGCGCTCTACTCAAGTCCCGCCCATGCCACAAGCCCCGCCTTTTACTCGGAGACTCCCGCCTTCCTTTAACCACTCAGATATGCCGGTCTGAACCCAAGCCCCGCCCACATCACAAGTCCCGCCCCTTACTCCAAAGGTGGCACCTTCCTTTCAACTATTCTGCATCTGGGATCTTTGCCTGAAGCCCCGCCCACCATCAGGCCCCGCCCCTTACTCAGAGCGCCGCCTTTTTTTTTTTTTTTTTTGAGTTGGAGTCTCACTCTGTCGCCCAAACTGGAGGGCAGTGGCCGCTCCCGGCCACCGCAGCCTCGACCTGCGGGGCTCCGACGATCCTTCCGCCTCAGCCTTCCGAGTAGCCGGAATTACAGGCATGCGCTACCACGCCCGGCTGATTTTTTGATTGATTGTAGAGATGAGGTTTCGCTGCCCAGGCGGGTCTCGAACCCGCGGGCTCAGGCAATCCACTCACCTCGGCCTCCCAAAGGAGCCACCGAGCCCGGCTTGAGCGCCGCCTTTCTTTAACATTTACATGTGGGGGAATCTCTGAACCCCAGGCCGGCCCTGGAGCGCCGCCTTTCTTTAACATTTACATGTGGGGGAATCTCTGAACCCCAGGCCGGCCCTGCTTGAGGCTCGAAAGTTAATCTTGAGTCCTGTGGGAGCCCTCGCAGTCACCTGTGGGTCCCCATCTGCGTGGGACTTTGCTCGTTAGAGGGTGGTCTTCCTTTTTCCGACTGAGTGGGCTTGAGCCCACCTTCTGGCGGGGTGTCATGCTCCCCATTGGCCCTGCTGACACAGCCAAGTCCTGCTTATCCCTTCAGAGCTTTGCTGGATGCCAGTTGTTACGTGGGGACTTCTAAATTCAAAATTTGGGTGCCTCTAAATGGGTGGTTCTCAACCAGGTGCAATTTGCCGCCGGGAGACACTTGGTAAAGACTGGAGACATGGGTGAATGTCACAGCTGGAGGTGCTTCTGGCACAGAGGGGGTGGAGGCCAGGAATGCTTCTCATCACCCTGCTGTACCCAGGACACCCACCCCAGAGAAGGGCCTAGCCCCAAATGTCCACCATGCCCAGGTGGAGAGAACCTGCTATAAATACAGCTGGTTTGAGAGATATTTAATTTAATTTAATAAATTACTTTGGGCTGGACCATTCGGACAATGAAGGAACAAAGCCAAGCTGACATTGTGCCAGCCTCCGGGAACTTAGAATCAGAGGGACACATGTTAACCAAACCTCCTTACAATTATGTACTTTTAAAACTAATGACAGCTCTGGCCAGGCATGGTGGCTCATGTCTCATTTCAGCACCTTGGGAGGACGAGGCCAGAGGATTGCCTAAGCCCAGGATTCAAGATCAGCCAGGGCAACATGGCAAGACCTGGTCTCTACAAAAAAATCAAAAAAATTAGCCAGGAGTGGTGACACGTACCCGTAGTTCCAGCTACGTAGAAGGCTGAGGCAGGAGGATCGCCTGAGCCCAGCAAGTCGAGGCTGCAGTGGGCCGTAATTGCATCACTGCACTCCAGCCTGGGTGACAGAATGAGATTCCACCTCAAAAATAAAATAAATTATTAACAACTTTATTGAAATATAACTCATATTCCATACAATTCACCCGCTTTTGTGCACAATTCGAATGGGCATGGTGGCTCACTCCTGTAGTCCCAGCACGGTGGGAGGTTCAGGTGGAAGGAACACTGGACGCCAGAGGTTTGCGAACAGCCTGGGCAACATAACAAGACCCTTTCTGTATAAAATAAATGAATAAATAAAACAATTATGTGTGCAATTCATTGGCTTTTAGTATATTCACAGGGCTGTAAACCCACCAGCTCTAGAAAATTCCAGAATGTTGTCATCATCCTATAGAGAAATTCCATATCCATTAGAGAAGCCACGTCCCATTCCTCCTTCTCCACACCCAGCCCCTGGCGACCACGAATCCGCATCCTGACTCTGTGGACTGGCCTCTTCGACACATTTCATATAAATGGAGTCACACCCAGTGTGTCCCTTTGTGGCTGGGTCTCTCACTAAGTGTGATGTTCTCAAAGTCCATTTATGTTGCGGCCTGTGTCAGAGACTCCGTCCTTTTCATGGTCACATAATATTCCATTGTGTGGATGATCCATATTTTTTTGATCCATTCGTCAGTTGATGGGCACAGCATTCACTTTTGGAAGTGCTGGAACGATAGAATCCTAAGGTCAGGAGGGTCATTCAAGGTGACAGCTGAGACATCAATAAGACTTACTTGGCTCCAGCCAGACACTTTTTTTTTTCTTTTGAATCGCAGTCTCACTCAGCCGCCCAGACTGGGATCCAATGGCACGATCACGGCTTACCGCTGCCTCGACCTGCTGGGCTGAGGCGATCCTCCCGCCTCAGCCTCAGCCTCCCAAGTAACCGGGACTACAAGCATGCGCCACCACACCCGGCTAATTTTTTTATTGATTGTAGAGATGCGGTCTTGCTATGTTGCCAAAACGGGTCTTGAATTTCTGGGCTCAGGCAATCCTCCCGCCTCAGCCTCCCAAAGTATTGAGAAGACAGGCGTGAGCCACTGTGCCCGGCCCAGCCAGACATTTCTATTGCAAGTCTGCCATGGAGCACATTTGTCACCTGTGTCCGCAGAAGACATCAAGCAGGAAATCCAACTGGAACAGCACCCGACATTTTTCTTCCATGAGAGGGATCTTTGTACGGCTACCTAGGCAATTGGCTCACTGCAAAAAGACAGGTGAAATCACATTATGATAGTCACTGCACTTGGAAAAACCCAAGCTGTGACAGCCCTGGCCGGGTATTAATATTTAGAATTTCCTCACTGTCCCTCCACGTTTTGAAGCATTTTACCAATCTGCCACCACCTTATATACAGTGTTGCCTAGAAACATAGATGACATTTTTTTTGTCTTATGCTTTTACCAGGACAACGGAACTAAAACGTTGAACACGGTAAAATTCTACTTTGGGGGGGTGGGTGGCACACAGAGTCTCGCTCTGACACCTAAGCTGGAGGGCAGTGGCACACTAACAGCTCATGGCAGCCTCAACTTGCTGGGCTCAGGTGATCCTTCCTCCTCAAACTTCCAAGTATCTGAGACCCCATGTGCCACCACACCCAGCTAATTGTTTTATCTATTGTAGAGATGAGGTCTTGCTATGTTGCCCAGGCTGGTCTTGAACTCCTGGGCTCAGGCAAACATCCCGCCTCGGCCTCCCAAAGTGTTGGGATGACAGGCATGAGCCACTACACCCGGCCTCCAAATGTATATTTCTAGAACACTAAGTCTGCAATGGCACTGTTAGGCAATGCCGGATAACCAGTATGATTGACCCATTGGACAGGTGAGTCAACTGAGGCTCCGAAGAGTTCAGTCATTTGAGCAAGACGACATGACTCTTGGCTGTGACAACCTGGGTTTGACTCCAGGCAGCTTGCTCTCCACCATGACGTGCTCGCCCTCCCTAATGACAATGGCTAACGCTGTTGGCTTGTCTCAAAAATGGAGGGGTTCAGCCGGGCTCGGTGGCTCAGCCTGTAATCCCGCGCTTTGGGAGGCTGAGGTGAGTGGATTGCCTGAGCCCGCGGGTTCGAGACCCGCCTGG